TTGTCTATTGGCCAATTGTATTTCCTCAGCTGAGAAGTGTCTATTCAATGCCCATTTTTTTATTGAGTCTAACATATCTTTTTATATTCTAGATGTTAATCCTCTGAGGAGTAGCTGGGAAACATTTTTTTCTCATTCTATAGTCTGTGTCTTCACTTTTTCCTTTCCTGTGCAAAAGCTTTTTTACTTAATGTGATTCTCATTTGTTGATTCTCAGTATTGTGTCTTGCACAACTAGGGTTTTACTGAGAAAGTCTTTGCTTTACCTGATCTTTGAGAGTTTTAACTCTTTTGTCTTCCAGTAGGTTGTTTCTGGAAAGTTGAGATCTTTCATTCATTTTGATTTTAGTTTATTGTAGTGTAGCCACCGACGAACGTTCCTCAGGGGAACCTTGGGGCGTCCCCCAAGAGTAGGCTGAGAGATACAGGTCTCATCTTTCCTCCAGTGAAAGGGTTTGGCCCTTGTGTCAGAGAATGTGTAACTGAGTGTGCCAGGTGCTGTGTCTGTATCCTTTGTTCTGTTGTATTGATCCATAAATCTGCTTTCTGCCAATACCCCATGATGGGGGTTTTGTTTTGTCTGTTTTTCCTTTTTGAGACATGGTTTTTATGTGTAGTCTAGGCTTATCTTAAACTCATGGTATAATCCAGGCTGGCCTTGAACTCATGGCAAATCGTCCTGCCTCAGCCTCCTGAGTGCTGATATTATAAGCATGTGCCACCACACCCAGCTCCCATTGCTGTTTTTGCCACTGTAGCTCTGTAGTATAACTTGAAGTATCAGATTATGATGCTCCCTGCCTTGCCCTTGTCACCAAGAATTGCTTTTGCTATTTTAGGACTCCTGCATCCACTGAATTTTAAGATTGCTTTCTCTAGTTCTGTAAGAAATGTTATTGGTATTTTGATTGGAGTTGCATTAAATCTGCATAGCAGTTTTGGAAGTATGGCTATTTTAACCATACCGGTTATGCCTATCCAGGAACAGGGAAAATCTTTTTATTTTATAATATCCTCTTTAAGATCTTCTTTCAGGGTATCATAGTTTTAATTGTAGAGGTCTTTCACTTCCTTAGGTTAATTCCTAAGTGTTTCATGAGTTTGTTATTCATGTATGGAATGCTGTTGGTGTTTGAGTGTTGACCTGGTAGCCTGCTTCACTATTGAATTTGGTTATTAGTTTTGGGAGTCTTTTGGTAGAGTTTTTAGGCTTTTCTCTGTAAAGGATTATGCCATTTGCAGATGACAGTTTAGTTTGTCTTTCCCTCACCATATCTCTCTTTCTCCTAACTGCTCTAGCTAGTATTATGAATTATGAAAGAATTATTGAGAATTATGTTGCACAAGAGCGGTGATAACAGATACCCTTCTTTTATTTCTGAACTTAGGGGAAGCACTTTCAGTCTTCCTGTTAAGTAAGATGTTGGCCATTGGTTTGTCATAATGGCCTTTTTTAGATTAAGGAAAGACCCTCTATTCCTATTTTCTTGATTTTTTTTAATATCATGAATGGATGCTGAACTTTGTCAAATGCTTTTTCTGCATCTGTTGAGATGACCATACTATTTTCATCTGTTTTTAAATGTTACAGATCAACAAAACTCAGCTGAGGGTTGTGCTAGTTTTACTGTGCATAACTTGTATTATGAATATCTACTTCCCAGCTGTGTTGTATCTTTTCACCTATGTCCTTGGTAGAGATTTTGGTTTTAAGCTCTAAGTCGGTTTTTTTTTGGTTTTTTACTTCTAAGACTGCATTGACGCCAGTGACTTTTCCAGTGGAAAAGGCTATCATGGAAATTCTGTATTAAAAGACCTTTCTTGTTTGATTGGTTTTGTGTTTTGAGACAAGGTCCTGCTATGTATGTAGCTCAGGCTGGCCTTGAACTCATGGAAACTGTTGGGATTATAGGTGTGTACCACCGTGCCTGGCTCTTGAAGACCTTCTTGATGTTTGTGAATGCATCTTTCTTGTTGGGGGGCTGCAAATATATACTTGTCATTTTTTTAAAAATATTTTAGAAATCTCAAAAGTACATGAAACTTGGGGACAGTTGTAATGATATATAAACTATAATCATTCCATCTAGTTTTAATATTAAAGATGATGTTTCTCTATGCAGTATGTGTGCTAAAGATAATGGTTAGACATGATATCTGCCAAGAGACAGAGATGATTATAAAAAGACTTTTATTGTATCAGACCAAACAATGCTACAAACCATAAAATGGATGGATCCATGTTTAAGAATTTAAATTATTTTCTATTGTTATTTTTTTTTTCTGAGTGTCAGAAAGGAAATTGAGTACAGTAATGTCTTTGGTATTAAATTAGGCAGTTGTGTTTGTTCTGAAAGCAATGTGAAAACATTTTTATCTTATTTTGGAAATAGATTCTAATAATAATATACTAAAGAATAAAGCCCATTCCATTTCCAGAACTAGAATGTTTCTAATGCCCTCAAAAGCGGTTATCCTGAATTTGGTACCTTCATAGGACTATCTCTTTGTTTTTATTGAACAATTGATTTGAAAGAATCAGAGGCAAACATAAATTTAGGTAGGAGTAATCTAATCTCTGGGTTCTTTTCCATCATTGCTCAACCTAAAACAGTTGATTAATAGGCTTGAGAGTTTCGTTGTCTCTCTGGAAGATAGTAAAAGAACTGGATTGACTTTTAGCCTATGAAGGTGTATTTCAGTTCTCAATGTCTTATTTAAGGACTTGTCACCAAAAAAAAAAAAAATGTAGAAATAACTATAAACATGAACTGAGGCTTTTTTTTTTTCTTTTTCTTTTTGTACTGGGGATCAAATTCAGAACCTTGCGCTTGCCAGGCAGACACTGTGCCACTGACCTGTATCCCTAGCCCCTAGAACTAAGGCTAAAATTTCAAGTGGCCTAAATCTATTCCTTATAAACTAGCCCTAAATATATTCCTTATAAATTACCATTGTGGTTCCTCTCTATTAAGTGGGAAATCGCTTTTTAAAAGTTCCCTACTCAGATATGAAATTGGCTTGGGGAACGGAGCAGGGGAATGTACACAGGTAGACAGAAATCTCTCTCTAACCTCTAGATCCCTTGGCTCTCCCTGGAACATTTCCTCTGAGCATTTATTTGAATGTACTATGAAGCCTGCAAAACAATTAGGTGACAGTCCCTTAACATTCACATGCTTTGGAAGTCTGTGAAGGTACCACTGCTGGAACATTCCACACAATTAACTGTGCTCTCACATGTAAGCACAGCTAAGAGAGGACTTGTCATCTTTACTTTGTACTTGTAGTAAACCAGTCTCTGAGAAGTACTTTCAGTTTAGGAGAAAAAGTGGGAGCTTTTGCCCAAACAGTACTTGGCAATAATCCTGTGGCTCCAGATGTAAGACAGGAACCTTTTGGAGCTGATCCTGGCAAGAAAGGAGAGCAATCAAAGGTTCAGGAGGGAGAGTTATTGAAGAGTGGCCAGGCAGGCAAGTAGACGCCTTTTGATAAGTTTGGATTTATTTGCTCCAGACTCTTAACGGTAGTAAATAGGCTTTGAGTCCAGAAAAACCCAGTTGAAGATGTTATCAAAAATACTTACCTCTCCAGGTGGGATGGCGCATTCCTGTAATCCCAGCACTCAGGAGGCTGAGGTAGGGGGGTGTTTGCAAGTTCAAGACCAGCGTGGGCTACAAATGAGCTCAAGGCTAGCCTGAACTGCATAACGAGATCCCATCTCAAAAATACAAAACAAAACCAAAAAAAACCCCTTATCTTCAAATGTGTTTTTATTACATAAATTAACCCGTTTATTATAGTCTAGGGGTGTCTCAAATAGTGGAGCTTCTATTGGTCTATCAGTTCCTTCAGTCTTCTGATGGCTGAATTAACTGTAACCACAGAAGTGGTATTGTAGGTCTAGGCACCACTAGCCACTGTTTCCATGCAGGAACCATAGCGCTAGATCCCTGCAGCCCATCTCTTCATCTTGGTCTTGCCGCAGCAGGAGCAAGTGTACCTGGTGTGCTGGCTGAATTCAGTTTCCTTCCCCATTTTTCAGAGTGAGAGACCATAGTGAGTCCTGTATTTACTGACATTGCCAGCCTTCTTGGTGTGTTTGGCTATATCTACTCAACCTGGACCCAAGCCCATAGAGGTTACCTTCAAATTTAAATATGGGTTATGTTACAAAAGACAGCATCCTAAGGGGCCAAGGGTTCAGCTCAGTGGCATAGGCATGTGAGTTTGATCTCTGGGACCAAAAAAAAAAAAAAAAAAAAAAAACAGCATCTTAATTAGGATATGGGCACAAAATTTGGATTTATTGCTAAGATTCTTGTAAAAGTGTAATAAAGGTTTGCACTAAAGGCTTATTTTTCAAATTTAGTGTTTCATAACTTGTTTTAGTAAAAAGCTCGCAAACCAAATGTGAGAAAGGAAAATAAACTCAAGCCAAATCTGAGGAAAATTGCACTTCTCAAGTTTGTGACCTTTGTGATGTACGACAGATTCACTAATCTTATAGCTAAAATGTAGAGAAATTAACTCTGAAGGAGCAAGAAAAGAGCATAAAAGTTCATTGAAGACGTAAGTGAAGCAATATTTACAGATACAAGGTGGACATTGATGGTACAGGTTACAGAGACTTAACAAAACTGTAAAATTAACACAACCATCATCAGATGGATGATTTTGATCTTTAACACTCAAAATTAAGTAGGGAAATTTATATTCTTGTATCCTAAAACAACAAAAGCCACTGAAGTTCCATCTCAGAGAAATGTCTTTGTAATTTGCTGCTTCCTCCAGCCCCACAGCTCTGTGATCTTGTGGCATTGTGGGAGAGAGCTCTTACCTGGATTTACCTAGGTTTGAAGTATCAGTTTGTTTTGCCCCCTCCCCTTGGGTGTCACTGTGCTTATCAGAAGTGATAGGTAACCACTTTTCCTTTATCATTTAGTTTCCTCTAGTCATGCTGGTAATTATTAATACAGTGTAAATGTCTTTTCTTTCAGTCCTCCTCGCCCTCTGACTAATATGAATGACACCGTGGTTAGCCACATGTCTTCTGGAGTACCCACTCCCACCAAGAGGTATGTATGTCTTATGCCTCAGAACTGGGGACAGGCCGTGGCCACTGATTTGCTGTGGTCCCTTCAGAAACAAAGCCCAAGACATAGGGGACTCCCAGGGGCCAAAAGGACTGACATTCTTCCCCTCTTTGGCTATCTTATCATATTATTTTCTGCTTTTTCCTTTTTCCCAAACTGTCCATGTATGCATCAGTTGAAGTTTGGCCAAGTAGTGTGCTCAGGTAGAAGCTCCACTGTGAGGCACTGCAAACATGGTGTCAAAGCAGATAAGGCATGTGCGAGATCTTTTATTAACATTAAATCATATTTTAATAATGTGAATTTCAGGGTTTTGTACTTAATTTCTTTGATTGTCAAATATCATTTCTGCTTCTGATTAGACTATGTACATTGAATTAATCCCTTATAAAATATCCTAAGTCATTCTGTATATGATTCATATACATTTAAGTTGAAAGCATAAACACTTTTTTCTTAGTTACACGAAGAGTCCACTTTAGGTCCTTCAAGGAACAAAAACTCTATGCTCCTTTTTCCTTTTTAAACTTTCTTCAAAATTCTTTTAGGCAGGACTTAAAAGATAGCATCTTTTCTATTTGATGTAAGCTGTTGTATGACCAGAGCAATGCAGAAAATCCCTTATGGGCACAACCATTAAAGAATTCTAATAGTCACCATTCAAAAAGGAAAAACCATAAAGACACCCAACCCACCCAGCAATCCTCCCTGGAAAAAAACACACTTTGTGCCATATGTATTGATTGCCTTAGACTAAGTCAACCATAGAAATGTCATCTGCCTATAATAATCTGACAGTACATGATACTTAAGACCAACAATTTTTTTGTTTCTATTGGCTATAATTTCTACAACATTTCTCACACCTGATCGATAACAAGAATTTTCCAGGGTACTGGTTAAAAATACACATTTCTGGGACCACATCAGATCCAATGAAATAGAATGTCTTAAGTATAGAATCGTGAGGGGTTGCCAGTTTTTATAAATATTCCAGATGATTGTTATCATCAAGCAAGTTTGGGAAATAACTTTAGCAGGAAGCAAAGAAGCAAACCATAAGGCTTCCTAGGACTGAATAAGTCAGAGTGACCTAATGAGACAGCCTTACTCTCGTGGAGGCTTAGGACCCCGACCAGGTAAGAGCACCTGCCTGCAATCTAGCAGACAGACAGCAGAGCCACCTGTTCAGGCAGAGTGGTGTCATACCCTAGAGCACAGGCATTAGCCAGACTCTGGATCTTGACTTAACCTTGAACATGTTTCATTTCTTCAGTTTTTTAATCTCCTAAATGGGGGCAGTAATAATGTCTACCTTGTGAGATTATGTGAGGATTTTAATATACTGTCTTCATTAGTTTGTAAGTAACAGATGGCCAGTAAAGCAGAGACAGGGAGTAACTTAGGAATAAAGACCTCGTGTGGAGGGACAAAAAGTGTGTGGAAAAATACACACCAGTAAAACCTCTCTTACCTGCATGGATATCCTACCTGGATGTGACTAACCCCCTACTGACCTTAGTCTTGTGTTTTCATGCAATATGCCCTTAACATTGAGACCCATAGGGGTTGGGGATTTAGCTCAGCGGCATAAGCACCTGCCTTGCAAGTGTGCGGTCGTGAGTTTGATCCTCGGTACCGATAAAAACGAAAAAGACAAAAAAAAAAAAAAGAACATTGAGACCCAGATTGTGAGTCAAGGATGTTTCCATTTCAAAACCAGGAAAACAAGACAAACTATTAGAAGAATTAGACTTATGGGGTTTGTAGGTTTTATGTTAATTTTAGGAATACCATCTGCTAAGTAGGAGTTCATTCGTCGGAGTTCTCCTTTAATAGTTTTGTTCCTTTGGACACCAAGAGTAAGATGCATGACACTGAATGACCCCCACTTAGTGTAGTTGATAGTGGGAGTGTGCTTTTCTGGAAATATTTTATTTTTGAAGATTGACAGGAGGGACTCAGAACAAACCACCTTTGTAGGACAGACCTTAAACTTGCTGAACTAGGCCCAAGGCTTAATTATAAGGGACCAGCTGCTTGTCAGCTCCAAGATGGTATCTGCCTTTTAAAAAGCTGTTCCAGTCAATATAGTATAGTCTAGATTAGGACTTTAGAGTCAGCATTTCAGCTAGAAGCTCATTCTGAGTAGTAGTAGTCAGTCCTAGAGCTGGCTGCCAGATTACCCAGCAGACCAACGGTGCCTGGAATGTGTGTTAGAAAAGACAATTAGCTCTGCAGTTTATTGTGAAGCACAGTTACTTGACTAGAAACAACAGTGAATCAAGAGGTCCCAAGCTGCCATCACGGCCCTCAAAATCTTAGGAGATTTCATTTATATCCTGTATGAGATTGTGCTGTACCACGAGGATAGTAGTTGCATAATTCATAAAGTTGACTTTGTCCAGCCTTAGTAACCAAGTAGTATAAATTTCCAGGTTGTGTTCTTTTTACCTCCTCAAGCGTTTATCAGTTTTGTTCCCTGCTATGAGTGTAATCAGACCTCTGTCACCAATCTGTGAAGCCCAGAAACTTAACACAACTTTTTAGCCATGAGACTCGCTGCTACTGAAGCAGGACTCCTCAAGGGGATGGATCTGTTCTCCAGAAATAAGAGGCCTGTTTTAGAACTCACTGTAAGGCATAGTTTGTGGAATCAAACAAGAATGTAAGAGACCTCTACATTGAAAACAACAGTACTCTGAAAAAGGAGGTTGAAGAGAATATTAGAAAATGGAGAGGTATCCCATGCTGTTGTGCAGGAAGAACAGTGAAAATGGCCATGCTTCCGAAACTGTTATATAGATTTAGTGCAATCCCTATCAAAATTTCAATATCATATCTCACAGAATTAGAGAAAACAATCCTCTGGAACCAGAAGAGGTCTAGAATAGCAAAGGCACTACTGGAGAACAAAGACAAGATGGGGTATCACAATGCCTGAATTGAAATTATACTGTAAAACTATGGTGATAAAAACAGCATGGTACTGGCAAAAACAGACACAACAATCAGTGGACAGATTAGAAGATTCAGAAACAACTCCAAACACACTAAGCTACCTTATCTTTGACAAGGTGCCAAACACATTCACTGGAAAAAAGACAACCTCTTTAATAAATGGTGCTGGAAAAACTGCATGCACATGCTGAAGATTAAAACTTGACCCATGTCTTTCACCATGTACTAAGCTAAAGTCAGAATGGATCCAGGATCTTAATATTAAAACAGATACATTAAATCTGTTGGAAAACAGTAGGTAAAACTCTTGAAGACGTTGGTGTAGGCAAATACTTTATGAACAAAATTCCGATTGCACAGAAATCAACAAATGGGATTTCATCCTATTGAAAAGCTTTTGCACAGCAAAGGAAACCACCGACAGAGTGAAGAGGTAACACACTACTTGGGAGAAAATGGTTACCAGCTTTTCCTCTGACGAAGGATTACTATTGAGAACATTTGAAGAACTCAAAAAAAAAAAAAAATCAGTCCTCCCAGATTTAAAGACCCAATCCAAAAATGGGCATCTGAGATGAATGCACACTTCTCAGAAAAGGAAATACAAGCAGCAAATGAACGTGTGAAAAAATGTTCAATATCACTCATCATTTGAGAGATGCAAATTGAAACAACACTGAGATTTCATCTCACCCCAGAAAGAACGGCTTCTATCAAGAAATCAACCAATACAAAATGCCCAAATGACTGTGGGGAAAAAGAAACTCTTCTCCACCATTGGTGTAAGTGTCAACTTGTGCAACCACCATGGAAATCAGCATAGAGATTCCTCAAAAAACTAGGATTGGAGGTCCCATTCAACCCAGCTATTCCCTGTCTGGATATCTCCCCCAAAAGAATTGGAAACATCATACTACAGTGATATATGTGTGCCCATGTTTACAGCAGGACAATTTGTAATAGCCAGATCTCAGAAACAACCCAAATGCCCATCGACTGAGGAATGGATAAAAGATGTGGTCTTTTTATACAATGGAGTACTACTCAGTCATAAAGAAGGATAAACTGGAGACTTTTATAGGTAAATGGATGGAACTTGAGACCATACTCATAAGTGAAATAAACCAGACACACGTGTAACAATCATGTTGTCTCACTAGTGTGAAAAGCTGAAACAACATAGATATATGTGCACGTATATGTATATAAGAAAAACAGTTAAGATAGTTATAATACTGATTTCACTGTAGAGAAAGATTTGTGCTGGTATTGTTTGGACAATTGAATGCAGATTTCTTGTGCACTGGGTGATTTGGGGATGACAATGCCCAGTGTATGTACCATTGCTGCCTCCTGATTGGCATGTTTTAAAATTTTGTTTTATCTTTTCTCTTTGAAATAAAGTGGATTTTTAAAAAATAGAAGAGGGAGAGAGAGAGTGCAGAGGTCAGCAGAACAAACAAAAGTAAAAACCTAAACAAAAAAGACAGAAAAGGAAAAGAAAGAGAAAAAAAAATAATGACATTCCCCTGGTGTCCACAGTCCTATCCTGGTGTCCAAATCAGAGTCCAGATCGATGCTGGGGGACACCACCAAGGCTGAGGAGGACTTGTTTTTGAGTACCGGGCTAATCTTGGCCTCCAGATGTGGGGGCAGGGCCGGTGTCCCTTGTAGGCCCACCCACTCCTCACCCTGTGTCTCCTCCTCCCTCTGCCAGCTTCCAGTCCTGTTGGCTCCTCCAGTCCTTGCACAGCCCCTTCGTGCCACTTCTACCAGCAAGTCCCTGTCCTCTTGAGCTGCTTATTGCAGGGCAGGATGGGAGCTAAGGGAGGAGCTGTGATCCTGCCACCCCTGCTAAGGAGACAGCCAAGGTTGCTCAGTCCACTTCAGTTTTCTCTCTGAAGGAAGGAGTACCCACCCTCCACTGCTGCACCGTGGCTCAAGGATGCTTAAATCTTTAAATTCTATGTGGTGCGTCCCTTTCTCAAACCACTGATGGGGAAGGGGCAGGAGGGCTCATTCCGTTTCACTCGCTCCCACTGCAGCCACTGTGATCCCTAGTTTTGTTGACTCTACTTCTTGCCCTCTGGAGACAGCTCCTTCTCCTTCAGTCTCCTCCGACGGCGGGCGGGAGTGCCCTCCTCCCACAGGTTGCTGGGTTGGAGCCCACAGCTGCTCAGATCCCGAGTGGTGGCATCCCTCTCACTGCAAGTGCCACGAGATTCCAGTTAGTTGCTTTGGCACATGACAACAACAACAAAAAGAAAAAGAAAAGAAATCTGGCAGCCCATCAGGAAGCCAATAGCTGCTTGGTCACTTGCCCCTATGTGTGCTCATAAGATTTGCTGCCAGGCTGCTGCATCCTCTCTTTGGCAGAAGACAAAAGAGGCAGGGTGCCATATATCCCAAATCTATGCTCTGTGACCTGAGTTAGCTGCACTATTTCAGCCCCACAGTTTTGGAAACTTCTCACAGGCAACCCTGCTCTGCCCATAAGCGGGAGTCCCATGAACAGTCATGTGAACTGGACCACCATTCTATTAACTCCTATATCTGTATTTGTTTTTTGACACTTTTTTTTCTTTTTTCTTTTTATCGGTACCCGGGCCTATGTCTATATTTTGTTTTATCCACCAGTCTTTTATTTCAGATTGATTTTGGGATCAGGGTATATGTCCCTCCCTTTCCTCCAATTACCTCTGTTTGTAGTTGATTTTCTCTGAGTGTGGCGCCTCTTGTATTCAGTCCTGTTGAAATCTCACTTGAGGGGGTGGGGCTTGTGATAGGATCTTGCCTTGTAGTCTGGGCTGGCCTTGAACTCACTAGGTAGCCTCAGACTTGTGACAGTCCTTCTGCCTCAGCCTGCTAGGTGCTGGGATTATAGGCATACACCACCACACACAGCTCAAAAAGCAGTTTTTAAAGGCCAGAAGATGCCACAGCATGCATATTATTTCTGCACCGTAGAAATGTGACCAGATTCCTGCCTGGCAAGTGCAGGTCCTAAGTTTGATTCCTGGTACCAGAAAAAGAGAAACAACCAAATTAAGAGTTGAGTTGTACAAGGTCATGAGTTCAATCCCCGGTACCCCCCCCCACACACACACACACACAAAAAATATTCACTGAGAAAGAGTTGTATTGTGATAGCGTTAGAGTGGGTTTCTGACTGGGATCACAGGAGAAGTATCAAATTATCTTCAGAGTGGAGTAGAATGATTAAAAACTGCTAACTGATGGCTTTTGAGACTGAAAGCAATAGAGATGTTGAGGAAACAGAAAGGAGGCAAAGTGAAGTTGATCCAGCCAGAACGGTCTGCGTGTGCACTGAACAACGGTTTTCTTCCTACCTGTGAAGAGGGAGAAGTAGTTTGAGTGAAAAGCAAGCATTATTAAGGGTTTTAGGAAACATCTAACTGGTTTGAATTCTTCATGGGAATCTCTTCAATGCAGGAAATGTGTTTTGTTTTTTGTTTTTTCTCTCCAGTCTTCCTTTGAAAGACAGAAAAGCAGAGAAACAGAAAATTAACACATAATCATGTAGAACTGCAAAGCCCCCAGTGTTGGCAGATTCCCAAAGCCTCTCTGGGCTTGGGCAGACTGCCAGTTTTCTGTCACTTCTAGTTTGGGATTAGATTTTACTTCCATTTAAACATTCCTGGTAATCATTTTCCCCAGTTATAACTCAGGCTGGTGCAAATAGAAAGCTTGGATATTGAAAGTCCAAACTTAAAAATCTAAGTTGGAGATATTGAAGTTGACCACAGCGTAGGGACAGATCATTTCCTCCTCTCATTGGGCACAGCAAGGCTCAGGGTCTGAGCGGAAGCCAATCACATCCATGCAGGTCCAGGAGAAAGACCCTCGGTGTTGGCAGGTTCAAGTTGAGATGCTTGTGAGATGGTAGAGGGAAGACAGGCTGAGGAAGAGGCAGGATGACATTCCAGGTTCCTTCCCGGCTTAGATAGAGGTCAAACAGGAAGATTTGGGAAGGAAGATAGCAAGGTGATGTCTAGTTAGAGATGCCTGGGGCACAGTGTTTTATTACTTTGGAGGCTTTTAATTACCTTTCCCTTATTTCCTTCCCAGAAGCTGACCCAGGACCACTGCTGCCTGCAGGTGACGGCACAGTGCTACCGTGCCGTGACCTTACATACGTAAGGAAAGCTCCACCTTGGGCCTTTCATGTTTAACCAGAGAGATTTGTCACTCCTTTAATGTCAAACTATTAACAAATACTTCAGCTTACTTCTTGTTTTTTCAGTACTGGGGATCGAACCTAGGGCCTTAACCCTGAGCTATGTCCACAGAGCTCTTTTTCTGGTTTTGAGGCACAGTCTTGCTAAGTCACTTATTTGCTTGAGCTAGGCCTGAACTTGTGATTTTCCTGGCCCAGCCTCCCTGAGTGCTAGGATTACAGGTGTGTACCTCTTTGCGTGGCTTCCAGCCTTCTTTAGCTAGTAAAGAAAACATGTCAGGCAGATCAAAACTGTGGTAGTTTTATTTTTCGTGGACCTCATGCTCCTCTCTTCACCTGAAAATATTCAGTCATTTCTTTGCAGCAAGAAATTTTTCTGAAGTGAAAATCTGATGATATTTTCTTAAAATTTTCTAGTGGCTCTTCTTTTTTTTTTTTTTTAAATTTTATTTAAGGAGGAAAAAAAACAGAGAAAGGGTACAAGTTATACAGATTTACAGAAAAAAATAAATAGTAGGAAATCACTAGTTAATGGATTACATATTGTCATCTTAGAAATAATTGTTCAAGTCACAAAATTAAAGCTTGTAAAGTGGACATTCCAACAATGATACTGCAAACAGTTCTGTTCAATGATCCAATAAAACTCAGTGATATCATTTTCTCTCTTATACACTTAAATATACATGCAGTTATATCATTTAGAGCACTTTCTTTTCCTCTCTTTTGTACAATGATTATTACACATTTTGGGTTTTATTGCTCCCACGATTCTTACTACTTTTTTGGAAGACAGTAAAACCAAATGTGACATAACAGAACAGAGTCGGTCAAGTCAAAAGGGTGGACATAATAGATAATGTAAAAACATAATACAAGGTGATCAACAATGGTTACCATAATGCCTCCTGCTATCTCTAATAGAATTGCCTATATCATCAGTTATAATAAAATTGAACAAAACAGTAAAGAACAAAACCGACAAAACCAAAACATTGGAGACATTGTAGGTCTTCAAAAGTAGATAAAAGTCAACGAGAATGGGCGTTTTAATGAATCTCACTATCTTCACAGCTGTTGCCTAAACTTTCGAACCTGGTACTATCCAGCAAAACAGAATAGGGGAACATCAGTCAAAAACAAGATGGTGAGAGTAGTACAGGGCTTTAAATCAAGATAATGGAAAGTCAAAGTGGGTTACTATAATATAACCTGCTATTTTTATTTATTTTTCCCTTAATTAAAAGGATAAAAATAAAAAAGTAAATAATGGAGTGGAGATTGAGATAAAAGAGGGCATAACAGCAAAACAGTGCAGATCAAAACATAACCAGTTAAGCAGAATAGTGTTTCACCACAAGATAATCCTGACATAAAAGTAGTTACCATATTGTCTCTTTCCTTGAAGTCCTTGAGTACAACTTCGTGTACTGTAGCATTAAATATATCAAAACAATGTAAAACCATTTAAGAGAATGACAGCATTACAGGGTATTTAGAATTGACTAACAGAAAATGAACAATGATTTCTGTATAATCTCCTTGTCTTTAAAAGTTTTTGCTTATACTATCGTACATAATAAAATCCAATAAGATACAACCTGTTTAGACCAATGGAGACAGAAGAACAAAAGCTTAATGAGACTTCAAAACAAGATGATACTAAATCAGTATTACCTATTAAGACATCATTGTCTCCAAAATAGCTGTTCCTATCATCCAATCTTCTCTGCCTCATTTCTGTTGAGCTCTTTTTCTGTCATTAGCTGTCAGTTTGTCTTCTTCATTTTGTTCTCTGCTCCATTCGTTGTGGCCTCCCCGCCACTATTTCTGGATTCTTTGTATTTTTCTTTTTTTAGAATATCCTGCAATACTCTCTGTAGAGTTGAATTGGTGGTTGCAAATTCCCTCAGTTTTCCTGGAAGCACCTTGTTTTTCCATCAATTTCCAGGGACAGTTGTGCAGGATATCTCAATCTTGGCTGGAGATTATTATCTTTCAAAGCTTGAATTATTTCCCCCCACGCTCTTCGTGATTGGATGGTTTGTGCAGAGAAATCTGCTGTAATTCTGATGGGTGTTCCCTTGTAAGTGGTCTGTTTCTTGTCTCTGACAGCTTTTAATATTCTGTTCTTGTATTGAATTTCTGGAATTTTTATTATTATATGCCTGGGTGTTGCTCTGTTTGGGTTGTAGGTGGCTGGGGTCCTGTATGCCTCATACATCTGAGTATCTTTACCTTTTGCTAAATTAAGAAAATTCTCCTGGATTATTTCTGTGAGTAGCTTTTGTAGTTCACTTGTTTGCGTCCCTACTTCTTCTTTTATGTTCTTAATCCTTAAGTTATGTCTCCTCTTATCATCTTCTTGTCTTTGTATTATTGCTGTTTGTTTCTTTGTTATTTTTAAGAAGTTTTTCATTTCATTCTCCCATATTACAAGTCTGCCCTCCAGTTCAGATAGTCTGTCTTTAGTTTCTTTCAAGCTGTTATGCCAGTTTTCGATAGACTTTTTAGTTTCCTGGTAGTCCCTTTGAACCTGCTTTACATATTCTATGCTTTCTCTATTTTCTCCATCAAACAATTCTCCCCTCTTTTTCTGTTCTTCCATTCCACCATCTGTTTTTTCTTGGGTGGTGCTTAGCATTTCTCTAACTATTCTGCTTACTTCTAGCTTCAAGTCATTGATAACTTCATTTCTGAACTGATCTATGAGGCTCTCTAGATGGCGCTTTATGTCTGTTGGTGCGGTGTCCGCTATTACCTGTTTCTCAGGATTGGGGGCCGAGGAGCCTTTCTTGTTGCTGCCTCTCCCCATATTCTTTGTTCCTTATATATGCAAGCGTATATAGGAGGCCCAGCTTCCTTTCCTGTCAGCCACAGTCTGATTGAATTATGCCGGTTAGGTGTTCCCGCCCACCGCAGCGCACCAGGAAGTTCCAGACCAGGCAGCCTACGCGGGACCGCCCCTCAAGGCCACCGTCAGGCTCTGGGATCTGGGTTGGGCCAGCCTACTGGGTCCGCCAGCAGCGTCACATAGGCTAGGCACTTCTCACCAATCCCACCTGAGAGCGGCATTTGTGGCTGAAGTTGCCACCATGCCCTGCTCCCGCAAGTCTGTCCAGTCCCAGAATGTCCTCCGCTGGAGTCAAACTGTGGTAGAGGGTCAGTTTCTCTCACTCACCTCACCACAAGTCAGTGCACGCCTCCCTGCCTGTCCTGTTTTTGACTCCTTTCGCAGATTCCTGTTCTCAGAGCTTCCACGTGTCTCTCTCCTTGCCGAGCCGATGTAGAGGCAGCCGCCGTGTGGCGGGAAACCCAAATCGCGGCTTTCAATGGCGCGGGGCTCCAGCCTCCACACTGAGGCTTTTCTGTTCCTGTTCTAGCACCAGGACTGCATTCCAAGTTGGTTTCTCTCAGCCCAGTTCGTTCCTGGGTCAGCAGAGCATATCTCCACTGGCTTATGTCTCCTTACTCCGCACCATTCCTGACTTCTGAGCCGGGTCTTTCAGAGAGCCTCCGTAGTAGCTGTTATCTGTCTGCCATGTTCTCCCGGAAGTCTTGGCTCTTCTTTTCTATAGCTCTTATAATATCTTCAGGCTCATCATATTTCTGTGCTTTGTGCTAATCAGTATAATAGCCACTAGCCATATGTAGCTATTGAGCACTTAAAATATGACTAATATGACAAAGGAAATGAGTTTTTAATTTTATTTAATTGGAATAAATTGCAGTTTAAACAGCTGCATATGGCTGGTGTTAGTACAGAAAAATGGAGGGTAGGGGGTTGAGATGTTTTCTCTTTCATGATGATCTTTATTTGGTAAAATGTTTGATACATTAATATTGAGAAAGAGGTCATTTAGCAAATTGAAATACAAAGCTCTGCTTCACCATTCACTGGGTTAAAAGTGTTGAACAAGTCTCAAAGAGCTCTAGATGTCACTCCGGCTACTCCCTCCTTTCTCTAATCTGGCTGAACCAGAGAATCTGTAGAGAACCTTGCACATAATTGGTGTTGTTTATCTCTTTCTGATTGAACATACCATTTTTTTCTCTTTAGTCTGAAATACAGTGAGGGCCCAGCAGCAGTGAGCTGTTAAAAGTGTGTCCTTCCCTCTGCAGGAGAGATAACCTAAAGGAGAACATCCTGACAGCCTATCAGTATATCGTTTGCACACAAAGGCCATGACATTGTGTTTGCTTTAGTAGCAGAGGAAAAAACAAACTTGATTTGCTCCCAGAATTATTTATTGTTCACTAAAGGATGGCACATTAGGGGCTGGAGGTTTAGCTCAGCGGCATAAGCGCCTGCCTTGCAAGCAGGCAGTCATGAGTTCGATCCCCGGTACCGATAAAAAGGAAAAAGAAAAAACAAACAAACAAACAAAAAAAAACGATGGCACATTATAAAGGGTAACATTTCTTGCTCTGTAGATCTGAGTCTCAAGCATTCAGAAAGCAGTTACTCTGTGTACTGCACATTAATGACTGTGCTGATCCGTGTTACTGTGGTGATACAGAGGAACATTGGTCAGTGCAAAGTGGTCATCTTCTGCCCCACTGCTTTCCTGCCATGTTCTCACTTGCAGAAGGGCTTTCCTGCTGAAC